TCACTTATGACCCTGAGGCTTGAAACGTGGCTAGACTTGTACAAATGGAGGGCACACAGTTTTGAAAATATGGCTCTCGCCTTAGCGCCGCGCACACTCGTCTCAAACAGTTGCAACAATTTAACAAATGGAAGGCGGGTCGTTTTCAAAATGCCGTTCTCGCCTCAGCGCCGCGCACACTCGCCTTATAAATGTGCAACTGCTTCACGGTCGTTTTCGAAATGTGGCTTTCGCCAGAGCGCCGCGCACATTCGTCTTTCAATTGTGCAACAGGTTCACGGATGGAGGGCGGGCCATTTTCAAAATGTGGCTCCCGCCTCAGCGCCGCGCACATCCATGCAAAACATTGCAAGAGTTTCACTGGTTGAGGGCGGCTTCTTTTAAACATGTGGCTCTCGCCTGATCGCCGCACACATTCGTCTTAAACATCTGCAACAAGTTCAAGGATTCCCGTGGTCAACGTACCAGATGTGGCGCTTTGGAAGGATTCAGCCTTGTCAGGGCGCAACCGTTACGGTGATTCGCGGTTGTGAAGTCCCAGGAATGGCGTTCTGGCACTGCTCAGGATCGTGAAGACAACTGAGTCAAGGTGATTCGTGGCGTCGAGGTCCCGAGAAGAATGTTTTAGCACTCTTCAGGATCTTCAAAGGGCCGCCTCCCAATGGTGCACTTCCCTTGATAGAAATCGATCCTTCTTAAACTGTTCCTCCTCCTCCTCCTCCACCTCCTCGTCCTCCTCCTCCTCCTTCTCCTCCTCCTCCTCCTCCTCCTCCGCCTCCACCTCCTCCCCTTTGTTATCCGGTTCCTCTTTCTCCTTCTCCGCATCATCATCCTCTCCCCCTCCTCCTCCTTCCTCCTCCTCCCGCCTCCTCCTCCTCCTCCTTCCTCCTCTCCTCCTCCTCTCCTCCTCCTCTCTCCTCCTCCCCCCTCTCCTCCTCCTCCTCCTTCCTCCTCCTCCTCCTCTCCCCCTCTTCCTCCTCCTCCTCCTTCCTCCTCCTCCTCCTCCTCCTCCTCTTCCTCCTCCTCCTCCTCCTCCTTCCCTCCCGTCCTCCTCCGCCTCATCTCCTCCTCCTCCATCCTCCTCCTCCTCCGCCCTCCTCCTCCTCCTCCTTTTCCCTCCTCTCCCTCCTCCTCCCTCCTCCCTCCTCCTACTCCTCCCTCCTCCTCCCTCCTCCTCCTCCTCCTCCTCCTCCTCTCCCTCCTCTCCACCTCCCTCCTCCTCCTCCTCCTCCCTCCTCCCTCCTCCTCCCTCCCCTCCTTCCCTCCTCCTACTCCTCTCCCTCCTCCCTCCTCCTCCTCCCTCCTCCTCCTCCTCATCCTTTCGTCCTCTCCGTGTTGTCATGCTCCTCTTTCTCCTCCTCCTTTCCTCCTCCTCCTCCTCCTCCTCCTCCTCCCCTCCCCTCCCCCTCTTCCTCCTCCTCCTCCTCCTCCTCCTCCTCTCATTCTTAGTCTTAGTATTATTGTCATTATTATTATTATTATTATTATTATTATTATTATTGGTATTAGTATTATTATTATTATTATTAGTATTATTATTAGTATTATTATTATTAGTATTATTATTAGTATGATTATTATTATTATTAGTATTATTATTCGTATTAATATCATTCTTCCTCTTAGTATTATGATTATTCGTCTTCGTAGTAGTATTATTATTATTATTCATATTATTATTCTTGTTATTTTTTAATATTATTATTATTACTACTATTATCCTTCTTCTTCTTAATATTATTATTCTTAATATTCTTCTTATTATTATTCGTATTATTATTCGCATTAATATTATTCTTAGTAGCATTATTATTATTATCATTCGTATTATTATTCTTATTCTTATTTTATTATTCTTCTTCGTAGTATTATTATTATTATTATTCTTATTCGTGTTCTTCCTATTCTTCGCATTATGATTATTATTATTGTTGTTCGTATTCTTATTATTATTATTCGTATTCGTCGTCTTCGTCTTATTCGTCTTCTTCGTATTATTAGTCTTACTTTTCGTCCTATTAGTATTCGTAGTATTCTTCTTCTTATTATTATTAGTCGTATTCTTATTCTTACTATTATTCGTATTATTAGTATTATTAGTCTTATTCTTAGTAGTCTTCTTATTATTCTAGGTATTATGAGTGTTATCATGCTTCTTATCATTCGTATTATTATTCTTCTTATTTTTCTTATTATTCTTCTTCGTATTATTATTAGTCTTATTCCTATTATTATTATTATTATTATTATTATTATTATTATTCTTGTTATTATGAGTATTATTCTTCGTATTCGGCTTATTATTCTTATTATTCTTCTTCATCTTCATCATCATCAGCATCATCATCATCAGCATCAGCATCAGCATCAGCATCATCATCATCATCATCATCAGCATCATCCTCATCCTCATCATCATCGTCATCATCATCATCATCATCATCATCATCATCATCATCATCATCATCGTCATCAGCATCAGCATCAGCATCAGCATCAG